CGAATTAATGAAGCTCATCATTCACAAATACATCAAAAAACACATTTTTAAATATAAATAGTGAGAGTACCTGGACTTAATCTGGTATCAGCCTCTTGCATTCCATGACTAGCATATAAAAGATGCCTTGACCAAGCTGCCTGACCCAACTCCCCCAACCACTACCATGAATGAGCAGACATGACACCAACTGGAGTTTAAATGGTCATAGCAACCTTTTATTAACCAAATATAAATAACATATTAAACATATCAACATATAAACATACAGACTGTATTCAATGGTCCCCAAGGTCCTTGTAGGCATTTACTCCCAGTACCTGCGTACACCACCATCTTAGGCCTCCAGCAACAGAAACACCGACTTGGAGACATGATATCCTCCTCTCTAGCTCCCTCATCACCTCCTCCCACGCTCGCCTCCAGGATTTCTCCAGAGCCTCTCCCATCCTCTGGAAACTCCCTACCACAGCATATCCGCTCAGCCCCCATCCGGTCTGCCTTTAGGCGATCTTTGAAAACTCACTTCTTCAGGGAAGCCTACCCCACCTCCACCTAAGAAGTGTACTTGAATCACCTCCACCAGATCATCCCCCGCAGCTATTACTTTTTGTATCATCTCCCCCTTCTTTTAGATTGTAAGCTCCACGAGCCGGACCCTCCTATTCCTTCTGTACTGAAATGTATTGTAATTGTACTGTCTCCCTTATATTGTAAAGCGATGAGCAAACTGTTGGCGCTATATAAATCCTGTAATAATAATAACTTGAAGACAAACCAGTATAGCAAGTACCACAGCCAGAATAATGGGAGCAGTACCCAAGACGGGCCCCTACAAATGTACCTTTTGGCCCCTAATCATAACACATCCAGGACCTTGTGCCACGCCAGCCACCATAACAAAAAGACACAGACCCGCTTCTCTGCAATAAGAGACTGAACAAACCTCTAAGGGCGGGGAGGGGTGGGAAGTTGTCCCGCCCAGGCTCTCTTCCAACTGACCACCTCCAAGACCCTCCCACGTTTCTAGCTCCTAAAGCTCCACCCTCTCCATTCCTGTTTTCCAGTCTGGTGAGTACCTCTAACATATTTACATTTATATTAATCCCACACTGACTCCTCCTTTGCCCAAACCCTTTTTAGCTTAGTCATGTTGGCCCTGCTTCTATGCTTCTTCTTTGCCTGACTTGTATAGCAGAGCTCAGACTGTAAGAGGCAGAAGCAGTGTCAGAATCAAATCAGTTTTAGTACAGTATAAATATCAAGTGTAAGCGAGCGCTGGAACTATAAAGCAGCTAGCACCAAGGTATAGGTAACAACTCCTTATGGATAAATATATAGAAAGTGCAGTGGTACAATAAGTGAATGATATTATAGTGAAAATAAAGTGCAAAGTCAATCTGACCTAAATCGAAAAAAAAAAGTGTGAGCGTACCCCTAAAGACGTGCATGCGCGCACGAAACACATCGGGTGGAGACGCACTTGCTGACTTCACACCGCCGTTGCTGAAGGTTGTAACAGCGGTCATCTTAGTACTCCATTTTACCTTCATTCTTACTTGTTTCCACATGAATTGTCTATTATTCATTATTTAACCTCCCTAGCGGTCTGATTATGTCAGTATTTCTGTGCTCAAAGCGGTACATTTTTTGTATGGAAAAATGTTGTGTTTTTTTATTGTAGGCCTGCAATTCTTAGGAATAACTCACTGAAATCTGTCTGAACAAGAGTCTAGTAAACATCCCGGATATGATAAAACTTGAAACACGAAATCATAAATTATAATATAATAAAGAATCATAAAAAATAATAATATAATAATAATACATTTAATTCAATAATATAATCAAACCAAAAACACTGAAATTTGAAATATAGCGCCAAGTTCGCACATCACTGAGCAAAGTCGCAAAATCGTTTTCAGTGTCTGATGACGAATTTCCCCCACGAATCATTATCACTCAATTCTGCAAGTGGTTCTGATTTACTTTCGCTGTTCTCTAGTTGGTCTAAAACCGCTTTTGACCTAAAGGGACGCTTTTTGGACGCCATGGACGTTTCTCAGTTTCCAGGCAGAAAGAACAGTAAAAATGCAGGCAGGGCGCCGGACAAAGCACTCGGGACACAATGTATGTGAAATGGTTGGATACAGGAATGTTATACTATGAGATTTTAGTGTATTTAGTGAATGTCACTTTTTAACATTTTTAAATTTCCCACCGATTCCGTCCCCCAAACGTCCCGTACGTTCGGACACTCCGGCGGTGCCCCCCCTAGAAGAAGGGACACAAGTGATAAGGATGGGGACCTGGTCATCTCTGCCATGAGATCCCAGGAGGCTGTGCGCTGCTGGAGGGTGCGGGAATGGCTGGCTGCTTCTTTCATTCCAGAGGTTAAGGTTAGTGCATGAATTGGGTGGTGGTGGTGGGGGGGGGAATTGCGGTGATGGACTGTGGTGTTGGAGGATGGTGCGGCCGGGGGGGCACCTGATTTTAGTGTTGCCTAGGGAAGCACATGAGCTAAATACGCACTGGCTGTGCCGTGTGACTCTCGGGCTTGCAATGCGGTGACGTTATTGTGGCCTGGCCATTTAAGCGGCCATACCCATATGGAAGGAAATATTCTAAATATTAAAAAAAGTCTTCCCAAATATAATGCCATATATTTAAAATGCTACAATTTTGGCCATATTCAATATATTTCAAAGAATTGTATATATATATATATATATATATATATATATATATATATATATATACACACACACACTGATGTTGAAATACGTTGTTATTGCAAAATATATGAAAAACATTTTTAAAAATAAATTTCAGATATACTGTATGTCTTTTAAAACACAAATCTACAGTTTTGGAATGCATTTACAAATATATGTGAAAAAATATATGTTAAAATTACTTTTTTATATGTTAAAAAAAATCCAAAGAATATATTTAAAAAAAAATTAAATAAAGGAATGCCCCTTTACAATGGGTGTCCCCATCAGAGTGCCCCCTTACATCAGGTGTCCCCATCAAGAGTGCTCCATTACATTGAGTGTCCCCTTACATTGGGTGTCTCCATCAAGAGTGCCTCCTTACATCGAGTGTCCCCATTAAGAGTGCCCTTTTACATTGTGTGTCCCCATCAGAGTGCCCCCCCTTTACATTAGGTTTCCACATCAAGAGCGCCCCCTTATATGGAGTGTCCCCATCAGGGTGTCCTCTTGCATCAGGTGTCCCCATCAGGAGTGCCTCCTTACATTGAGTGTCCCCATTAAGAGTGCCCCATTACATTGGGTGTCCCTATCAAGAGTGCCCTCTTACATCGAGTGTCGCCATTAAGAGTGCCCCTTTACATCGGGTGTCCCCATCAGAGTGCCCCTTACATCGAATGTCACCATTAAGAGTGCTCTTTTACATTGTGTGTCCCCATCAGAGTGCCCCCTTACATTGTGTGTCTCCATCAGAGTGCCTCCTTACATCGGGTGTCCCTATCAAGAGTGCCTCCTTACATTGAGTGTCCCCATTAAGAGTGCCCCATTACATTGCGTGTCCCCATCAGAGTGCTCCCTTACATCGGGTGTCCCCATCAGAGTGTCCTCTTACATCAGGTGTCCCATCAAGAGTACCTCCTTACATTGAGTGTCCTCATTAAGAGTGCCCCATTACATTGGGTGTCCTCATCACAGTGTCCCATCAGAGTGCCTCCTTACATCGGGTGTCCTCATCAGAGTGTCCCATCAGAGTGCTCCCTTACATCGGGTGTCCTCATCAGAGTGTCCTCTTACATCAGGTGTCCCCATCAAGAGTACCTCCTTACATTGAATGTCCCCATTAAGAATGCCCCATTACATCAGGTGTCCCCATCAGAGTGCTCCTATATCGGGTGTTCCCCTCAGAGTGTCCCCTTACATCGAATATCCACATTAAGAGTGCTCTTTTACATTGTGTGTCCCCATCAGAGTTCCCCCTTACATCGGGTGTCCCCAATAAGAGTGCCCCGTTACATTGTGTGTCCCCATCAGAGTTCCCCCTTACATCGTTTGTCCCCAATAAGAGTGCCCCGTTACATTGGGTGTCCCTATCAGAGTGCCCCCTTACATCATCTGTCTGCAGCAGACTGTCTCATGGATCAATGGATGGACTCTCAGAGAACTGGGGGGTGGGGTGGTGGGGGGGCACAACTAAAATCTGGGAGGCAAAGTCCACCCCAGCAACCCCCCCTAGATCCGGCCCTATTTCTCTGAATACAGATTTCCTTTAAATCAAAAGCCCGATCTCTCGAGTCAAAGCAAGGTTAACCATGGATTTTGTACCACTTCATAATTTACAGTTTAATTTTAAAATCCTTCATCCTTCCTTCCTTGAGCTAATCAAAATCTCCCCTCAGTGCTCTACATGCATAAATGTAGTTTAATGAAACAGGGATGAAAGTTTTCTGGATGAAAAGTTCCGGTTTCTAATACAAAGAAAGCCGTGCTTTTTCTTCAGGATCGGGTAGATTGCTTTGTTGACGAGAGCTGCTTTTTATATGAGAGCATAACCCGTACTAAAACAGATTTGTTAAAAGATTGCATTTGAACTGCTTGCCTGTAACACAAAAGGGATCTCAGCAGGATCTGCTGCCTTCAAAAGGAACACTAAACAGGTCATTTCAGGAGCCAATCAGCTTTGTTGCTGTGCTCATGTGCTATGAAATACGCTGATAGGAGGAGAGAGCAGAGTGCCAGAGTAATGAGCTCATTATGCTGCTTCTCCTTTCATTGTCCACTTACAGACTACAAATGGCATAGGACCTGTAAGTGTTCTTAAAGCGGTATTAAACCCAAAACCAGAAATGTAATATATTGCCGCTTACCTATTCGTAGATGTGGTGGCTGCATTCATTTTCTTTTTTAAGGCTTATTCTTGGCAAAGGGGAGCTTTAGCTCATTTACAAAGCTCTGGAGCAACTGCACTTGCAGAGTGCACAGTCTATTTGCCGTTAGTAAATCAACCACTATATCTGTAGAGGACTTTTTGTCTCCTAAATGATATAAATAAAGTTTCAGTGAAAAAAGTGTAAAAAATAAAGTTAGGGCCAGGGGCGGACTGACAGCTCATGGGGCCCCCAGGCAATAGAGGATCATGGGGCACCTGAGTCCTTGTCCAAAGTCAAAAAAGCCTATGAAAAAGGTACCAGGGGCATCTCATGGGGCCCCCTACTGACCCCGGGCCCTTGGGCAGTGCCCGAGTTTCCAAATGGTCAGTCCGCCCCTGGTTAGGGCTCATGTACACGGGGTGTTTGGAAAAATCTTCTGAACGATGGAAACTGACTACTGGAAAACGTAAGTCAAAAAAACGTCAGTTTAGCCGCGTTTGCATACCGCGTTTATGAGCGTTTACGAAGCGTTTTTAAAAGATAACCTCAGGAGACCTTCCAAAAATGCCCAGAATGCACTGAAAAATAGTAAAAAAATAACTATTTCAGACATTTTTTTTTTTATATTTTATTAAGTTTTCCATTTCATCTAATCCATCCATAATAAAAAAAAAGAATTCAATACAACTTCTCCCCCCACCCTATCCCAGTCAATACCTTCCCTTCCCACCCCCCCCCCTCCACTCAGAACCATTCCTCACTCTTTTGGAGTCCTAGAGTTTTCATCCATTTCTATATACTTTCAATTTTGAGTGAAATAGAGAGAGTAGAAGCAGAGAGAGCAGTATGTGTTGAGATGACCGGTCTTTTCTGGTTGTAGTCACTATGGATCCCATCATGAGCATAATGCGGCACGTCCTACCAATTTCTCCTTCACGTGAAACCTGGAACTGACTGCGCTGGTGTGACGGGTCCATTCGAATACATGGGAAAAGCTTTTTTTAAACATGCAAAAAAATGCAAAAAATAGCTCTTGCAGCATAAAAGGTAAATACTGCTTTAATGATCAGTTAACCCTTGCAGTTTGGGAGGATATATTTTTCCTAATTCCTGGAGTTCATCTTTAACCAGTTCGGCTACTGCAACAGGGCGACACGGGTGCGCAAAATCATGTTATATATATGATTTTTCAATTGCGGGTAGGGGCGCGCGTGCACCCTACCCGCGCCACCATTCATGGCCTTGGCTGTCAATCACTGGGTCCCGACCCGGTGATTACTCGCTGACACCCGGTGATCACCGAGTATCTCCGACAGGGGAAAGATCTGTATGTAAACAACACAGATCTCTCCCCTGTCAGCTCCTGCACACTGCTTTGTATGGCTCTGCATAGCAGAGCCATACAAAGCAGTGTGCTTACAGTGAAGCACACACACAGCCCCCATAGTGAAACAGCACACAGTTAACCCTTTGATCGCCCCAGATGTTAACTTCTTCTTGTCCAGTGCCATTAGTACAGTGCCAGTGCTTTATTATTAGCACTGATCACTGTATTGGTGTCACTGGGGATGTCAGTGACACCAAATCAGTTCCCCCCAGTGTCAGAATGCCCGCTGCAGTCCCTCAGTCCCACTATAAGTTGCTGGTCACCGACATGACTAGTAAAAAAAAAACAAATTCCAGTATATATACCGCCATTTGTAAACGCTATAACGTCCACGTAAACCAATTAATTTACACGTATTGGGATTTTTTTTTATAGCAAAGACATGGAGCAGAATACACTCTGGCCTAAATTTATGACGAAATTTGATTTTTCAAATTTTTTTACTCGATATGTTTAACCTCCCTAGCGGTCTGATTATGTCAGTATTTCTGTGCTCAAAGCGGTACTTTTTTTGCATGGAAATATGTTGTTTTTTTATTGTAGGCCTGTAATTTTTAGGAATAACTCACTGAAATTGTCCGAACAAGAGTCTAGTAAACATCCCGGGTAGGATAAAATTTGAAACACAAAATCATAAATTATAATATATAATAAACAATCATAAAAAATAATAATATAATAATAATAAATATAATTTAATAATATAATCAAACCAAAAACACTGAAATTTGAAATAGAGCGCCAAGTTCGCACATCGCTGAGCAAAGTCGCAGAATCGTTTTCAGTGTCTGATGAAGAATTTCCCCCACGAATCATTATCACTCAATTCTGCAAGTGGTTCTGATTTACTATCGCTGTTCTCTAGCCGGTCTAAAACCGCTTTTGAACTAAAGGGACGCTTTTTGGACGCCATGGACGTTTCTCAGTTTCCAGGCAGAAAGAACGGTAAAAATGCAGGCAGGGGACAGGACAAAGCACTCGGGACAAAATGTATGTGAAATGGTTTGATACAGGAATGTTATACTATGTGATTTTAGTGAATTTAGTGAATGTCACTTTTTGTCATTTTCAAATTTCCGCCGTTCCGTCCCCTGTACGTCCCGATGTTGCAGGGAACGAAACCCAGATGACAGATGCCGGGATCTGGCGGATTACATTACAGGGGACACTGCATGGGGGGACATCGCGGGAGCGCAGGACAAGGTAAGTGATCGAGAGATCCTGGAGCAGCGCCGCATGGTAAGCCCGAGTGTAGCTCGGGGTTACCGCTTGTGGTACTGAAACTTTACCCCGAGTTACACTCAGGAATCTCCTAGATCAGTGGTTCTCAACCTTCCTAAAGCCGCGACCCTTTAATACAGTTCCTCATGTTGTGGTGACCCCCAACCATAAAATTATTTACCCAGTAATTATAATTCATGAGTGTCGTTTTACCTCCAATACTGCTGCTTTCAATACAGTAGCTGCTTTCAACACAGTAGCTGCTTTTAACACAGTAGCTGCTTTTAACAGAGTAGCTGCTTTCAACACAGTAGCTGCTCTTTACACATCGGAAATATGTGTTTTCTGATGGTCTTAGGGGACCCCTGTGAAAGGGTCATTCGACCCCCAAAGGGGTCGCGGCCCACAGGTTGAGAACCACTGTCCTAGATTGTAAGCTCGAAAGAGCAGGGCCCTCAATCCCCTCATGTTTTGCATTGTATTGTTGTTCTGTCACATGTTCTGTCCCCCTTTGTAATGTACAGCGCTGAGCGAACTATTGGCACTTTATAAATACTGTATAATAATACCTCCAGGGAGGTTAATAGCAAAAAGTCAAAAACATTGTTTTTTTTTTTCTCAAAATTGTCGGCCTCTTTTTTTTTATTTATAAAACACAAAATAAAAAACACACAGTTGATCAAATATCACCAAAAAAAGCTCTATTTGTGGGAAAAAAAGACGTAAATTTAAGTTGGGTGCAGCGTTGCATGACAGTTAAAGTAACGCAGTGCCGTCTCGCAAAAAATGGCCTGGTCAGGAGGAGTGGGGGGGGGGGGGTAAATCCTCCAGAGGGCAAGTGGTTAAAGTTCATACAAGATTTCAGTGATTGGGTTTCCATCTGCTTCATACGGTTTCCATCGCGCAAATAACCGCCAAGGTAGCCCCGGTTCTGTAAGCCGTTTCAGTCTCCCGCTGTAAATTTTGACTGTTTTCCTATTACCAAAGGAAAGAAGAAATTATTGTCTGCTTCATAAAATGCTTGGCTTTTTTTGGCCTGAAAAGTCAGGCACATCATTAGACTGAAGTCTGTGATTTAGATTATTACCGTACTTCCCGGCAAACACACTATTGACATTTGCGTTGCCGCTACAAATGATGGAGGAAGGATTAAACAGCCGGGCCAGGCGGCACACTGAGAAATGATGCCTTCCCTGCCTCTGCCTCACGGTACACAACATGTATAGGTTTAATCTGGATGAAACCCTAATTCATTCTCCTTCCTTTTATAGTTTTCATAAATAAGTTGCAGCCGGCCCCGCAGGGCCCAAGGCCTGACCTAATTTACCAAGCCGGCTTTCAAGCTTAGTGATTGCAGGAGTAATTGTTATATCAGGCAGCCGATACTGTGAAAATCGTCCAGGCCGAGCTGAATGCCCATATTTATCTGTTTGCACTTTGCTTAGATTTGTTATTTTTTTTTATTTTCACATTTATATTTATTTTAATTTTTTTTTTAAGAAACTTTCTCCATTTTTTGACCATATGTCAAGCAGCTCTGTGTATAGTAATGGAGAATGTCACCAGCACACCGAGGATCACCAATATGGGTTCAAAAGTTTTAATAAACGATCACATAGTTACAGCAAGGCAACGTTTCGGAGTCTCGCAGGACCCTTTCATCATCAGGCATGTGATCACATCAAAACGTTTTTAATAAACGATCACATCGTTTTAATAAACGTTGCCTTGCTGTAACAAAGTCTATGTGATCGTTTACCAAAAGTTTTAAAACTTTTGGTCACATGCCTGATGAAGGGGTCCTGCGAGACTTTTTCGAAACGTTGCCTTGCTGTATCTATGTGATCGTTTATTAAAACTTTTGATCACATGCCTGATGAAGGGGGTCCTGCGAGACTTCGAAACGTTTGCCTTGCTGTAAATAAGTCTCTCAGGACCCCTTCATCAGGCATGTGACCAAAAGTTTTAATAAACGATCACATAGATACAGCAAGGCAGCGTTTCAAAGTCTCGCAGGACCTCTTCATTAGGCATGTGACCAAAAGTTTTAATAAACGATCACATAGTTACAGCAAGGCAACGTTTCAAAAAAGTCTCGCAGGACCCCTTCATCAGGCATGTGACCAAAAGTTTTAATAAACGATCACATAGTTACAGCAAGGCAACGTTTCGGAGTCTCGCAGGACCCCTTCATCAGGCATGTGATCAAAACGTTTTAATAAACTATCACATAGTTACAGCAAGGCAATGTTTCGGAGTCTCGCAGGACCCCTTCATCAGGCATGTGACCAAAGGTTTTAATAAACGATCACATAGTTACAGCAAGGCAACGTTTCGGAGTCTTGCAGGACCCCTTCATCAGGCATGTGGGTCCTGCAAGACTCCGAAACGTTGCTTTGCTGTAACTATGTGGTCGTTTATTAAAAGTTTTTTGAACCCATATTGGTGATCCTCGGTGTGCTGCTGACATCCTCTCCCTTGCTGATTCTGTTCGGACAAAAGTTTCCAGCCGACGGTCGCTGCAGCACCCACTTATACACACAGCCATTTTTAATGCAGGAACGTGTGCGTTGGATTGTACACTTGCATCCTGTTATAGTTTTATGACACACCTCTCCCCCTCAAAAAAAAATGGCAGCTAGCATGTGGGCAGGGCTTAAAGTACCCAATACAGGGGGGGACCCGCTAGTAGAGGTCACTAATGCTTGTACTACAGGCAGAGGCCACTGTTATTTGCAATCCTAATTAAGGCACAACTCCAACTTAGGATGTGAGCACACTATTACTCCA